CATTCTCCCACCCTCACCTACTCCCTATACCCCCACCCATCCACCAACCGCTCCCCCAGCACCATCGCCTCCGGCCCCTGCTCCCCCGGCTCCGGCTCCTCCTGCACCTGCACCCCCTGCACCTTCTCCTCCTGCCCCACCAATTCACGCTCCTGAGGAACACGTTGAAGGATGCCCAGCCCCGGAGCCTGAGGTTCAGCCTCAGCCTACCTCGGAGCCAGTGCAGAACCCCAAGCCTCAGCCCCAGGCAACTGTTCCCCAGTCCGCATCCCCAGCACAACCAGCCGGGACATGCAAGTGTGCAGCTTAAGCTGCCCCCTTAATACAACATGAATCTCTCACTGCCAGCGAGAAAGGGCGATCCAATGCCCAAAACACCAAGTCTCACATTCTCTTAACTTTCTCTATGTGAAAATTGACCTGTCGATCTGTCTCCACCCTAACAGTACCGATGAGTCTGTGAGGAGGATGCAGTTGATACTATATATTTCATTCTTCGGAGCTATGCGCCGCTATATGTATCTGTGCTATCTCGGTTCGTCTTGTGTTATCTAGTTTGTGCAATTTGAAGTTCCATTATTCATAGATCCTTTCCTTGTTCATAGTCAGTGACTATCAAAGTAGACACAAATTCTCACCCAAGCATTGCTAGGGGATAAAAATCAATTCAAATTCGGGAAAATTCTATGTTATCAACATGTTTGTTTGCTAGTAGCTTTATTTAGCTCGTTGTGGTGTACTCTGCCGCTAATTGACACGCCGGATATATATTTCTTGCTATCTACCCAGCCTCAGAAGCTATCGATGCCCTCTCTGGCACAATTTGTTTTTCTCGCTCTCTAGCATTAGCTAGCTTTCATAGCGAAAGTAATATAGTTCAATAGTGGAAGAGAAAGATAATCTCCTTCAAGTTATTTGGTAGATGGTTAAGGTTCGGACAAGTATTATCTCAACTGAAGTTTAGAAGCAATCACATGCAAAAATCATGATTGGTGTAGATAGAAAAGGAGAGGAAGAGAATCAGAGTAATAAGGACAAAATAGGGGTACATACAACGAACCCAACTCTGTTGGATCAATAGCGTATGCTAGGGGGTTATACAATTACGTCATTTATATCGATAACGGCTTTACCATATCCCTGAAGGTATGCTGTACACATATATCAATGATAGACGCAGATCGGGATTTATATTTGTCAGGGTATAAATGTAGGCAACGACAGGAGAAGAATGAGCAAATTGATTAGCCTCTAATAGTGACCTGTAATGAACTGATATACTCCGAAGAATTGGTCTGTGGAATCATGTCATCGTGAATATGAAAACCCCACGCCCGAGAAAATAAAACAGCCTGAATAGAAGAAAAGTATTCAAGTACGAGGCCGTAGCCTTGAAAGAATCAAATTATACCCCCATGGTGAAATCATGCTCAATCCCCGGTGTCACGCTAGCAATAAATTTGAGGAAAACAACCAAATACTGATCCACTCTGATGGCGACCTGATCTTCTTCATCGTGCTGTAGAACCTCCCACTCATCTCCGCCGCTCTTGTCGATGCCTTGTTGCTGCTGGTCACTCAGAGAGAGTGCCTTGATGTCATCAACTAATCCCTCCAGACCGCTTTCGCCCGCCGAAGGAACCTTAGATGAGTGGTCGGACTGGGCCTGCTTCAACTTGTCGCGGCGGAGTTTAAGCGCTGCATCTGCACGGTCAAGGAGGGTCTTCATCACTGAGGCGTGTCGACATGGGTGCACGGTGGCCATCTTGACGTTTCCATCGAACCAAGGGAAGTCTTCGAGGGTAACGGTCTTGTCCTTGTAGTCGCCCACGATATCTTCCATCATCAGATGTGGAGGAAGGGGTTCTGACGGTGAAAGGTAACCGGACAGGTAGAGGCGTGGTGTGCGATAGAAGTTGGCGTATGCGATGTAGAGGTTATATGTGCGCGTGGGCCTGTACGTAGTATGTTAGAAAGCTGACGACGGACGGGCATCTGTCGTGTTCTAAAATAGACAGAGGGGAACATACTGCGTGGTACTCGATCCGCCCGCTGGTTCTCTGATAATCGCTTCTTCGTCATCATCTTCATCTTCCATGTCGGGAATTTCATCCTCTTCTTCCTCCTCTCGTTCTCCCATGTTCCCTGACTCATCCACCGTTCGCACATCCTTTATCCGGTTCTCCTGCCGACCTGCAGAATCTTGGCCCCCGCCAGTTCGTAGCCATCCGTCGTCGTCATCACCCCCTATGCCTCCGGATAACATATCCCTCACAATTTCATCGTCGTGGCCCGCATCGCCGGCAAAGTTGTCGTTTAGTCGGCGGTGACAGGGGACACCTCGGGTGACGAGGAACTGCTTTCCGGGTGGCAGGTAGGAGACGCGCTTGGCTGGGGTCGAGGCATCTGCCCAGGACCAAGATGGGAATTTGTAGACTAGGTAGTCCCCTGCGAGGACGAATTCCTCCGGGGTGATCTGGCCGGTGCTGCGGAAGGTGGATGTGCGGGATACTGGAGCCAGGCGGTCTCTCCAGGTGGAGAGTGTGGAATGCAAAATATTCATAGTTGTAGTCAGATATAATTTATTTTTAATGTGAAGTGTGCCTAAGCAAAAGAACTGGGTGTAATATAAAAGAAGGGAGAAGAGGGAAGAGGGAGAGCTCCAGTGATCGGAGCAGCGTATCAGCAGTGTGGCGGTCTACTTCTGGGCACGCGGGGTATATCATGTGGCTGAGGCAATGTCATGGTTTTGATCAGATCACGACCACAAACACCCAAAGGCTGAGTCATGCAATCATTTCGTGACGAACTAAACCGAGGTAGACGTATACAATATTATTCAGGTTTATAGTAAAGGTTTATTGGACGAAGACTGTATAGAAAGGTGTGTAACCAATCATTGCTTGTTATATACAATATACTGAACTTGGTCCGGGTAGGTTTAGGCACTAGAGCCGAAGCCAGGCAACAACTATAGAAGTTGGCATCCTACAAACGAACTCGAAGAGATGTGAGAGTGTTGTAAGATCCAATATCGTCCCGAGGAAGACCCGATAATGGAAGAAACTGCGGTCGTTCCTTTAGATAAGGCTGGTCCATGCTGAAGATCCATGCCTGCCTTGTCCGTTCTTTTGGATGCATCACCAAAGGGACAATAGAAAGGGAGCGTCTGGATGCTCTCCAAGCAAGATGTGTGTCGAAGACATGAGAAAGATAATGCGCATGCGGTCGTCGCGTAAACTCACTCGCCTTCTTCCATCATTCTCCTCCGCTCAACCTCTGCCTCAACCTCATCCACAATCAAGGGTATCGCCCGGTTCTTCCACTTCTCCATTTCCGCCCGCACAAATCCCTCCATACTTCTCATACCCACCACGAGGAACCCAAGCTCTTCCCGATCAACGTCAAAGACTTCCCACCACTCGCCATCGACCAACTTCACACCAACTTCTCGTGCCGCCAAGTAGATAGCAGAGACGGCAAGGGCGTTCGGTTGGTGCGTTACGTACAGCAGCTGCGGAGACAGCAAAGCCGAGTTTAGATGCTCAAAGGTCTTTTGTGCAACAGCGGAAGATGATATGCCAAGGGTTTGAAGGTAAGTCAATGCGACTGTATGGGGTAGGGCAACATGGGTGTTGAAGCCTAAGGTACGCAGAATTATCGATTCGATTCGTAAGAGCACTCGTCGTTGGCTCTGATAACCACCTTCAGATAAACAGTATGTCTCGGGAGACGGCTTTCCTGACACTCCTTTGCAATTCACGAACCATAACGGCGACGCGTCTTTAGATAGTAGGAAATTGTAGACATTCAAGACCGATCGAGGGGAGGTAGGTTGGAAAGATAGCTTAGCCGTCATATACAGAGCTGCGGCAGAAACATCCTACACAAGTCACCGGGTCAGCAGTGCTTCTATGTGAAATTATAGTATAAGATCCGAACCTTTACGCAGTAAATTCGAAGGCTTCCTCCTTCAGCGCCTATCCAGAATCGAGTATATGTCACGATCGCCTGCGAAATAATATCTTGCGACAACCGGAGTAGCACCCCAGCCGCTTGGGTGAGCAGTGCACCGGCAAATCGAATGGAAGTTTCTAATTCTGGAGGAACGCCATCAATAGAAGACGAAGAATTGGTTATTTGTTCTGGTGTTGCAAGAGCATTGGACAAGTATTTCAGTCCGACTGCGGATGAGCGTGCCATCTGCTGTAGTAAAGAAGGTGGGCGAGGAGGAGCTTGGATCTGGGTGAAACGATAGTTGAGGTCTCGAACAGTTTCCTTGCATGATATTCACATGTCTATATTTACGGTAGCTCGTAGAGAATGGATTCCTTGTATTTGTACGATGATTTCGGTAGGTACCGGCCGGCGGGCAAAAACCGAAGCTCACATCCGTTACGACAGACATACCGCCTTTGCCTCTTACCATTTTAGGATCCCGAGAAACAGCTTTGTCTATAAATTCGCGAGTAGATATTATATATCGTGTCCTACTGTGCAAGAGGGGAATAGATCAAAGAACAATCCAGACTACAAAGTGCCCGGGCATTAGCAATTACCGCTACAGCATAGCTCCTGTCTATGCACCAGGCAGACATCGCATCGCAAGGGGTAAAAAGTCTAGTCCCCAGCATGGCAGTGGTATTGTGGACAAATATATAAATATATTGAGTAGATCAGTGAGGCGCTGCCAGAACACTGGTAGGACATGATAGTTAATGGGTATAAAAAGGCAAACAAGTGCAAGACCTAGCATAAGGACAAAATTCCTCCCTATTGAACCATGAATGAGATCAAACGATTCTTAGCATATATACTTATTATCAAATATTTTAATAAAACCTCAACAACATAGCCCGGTTAGCTTAGTCGGTAGAGCGTGAGACTTTTAATCTCAAGGTCGCGAGTTCGAGCCTCGCATTGGGCGCGTCTTTTTTATTTATCAAAACAATGTCTTTCTATCACTACATTGCTATTTGCACATAAGGTGATAACAACAAGCCCGGTTAGCTTAGTCGGTAGAGCGTGAGACTTTTAATCTCAAGGTCGCGAGTTCGAGCCTCGCATTGGGCGCTTAATTCTTTTTATGTTTTTCCCATAGATCATCACCCAGTATCTCTTAACACCAGTCAATACATTGCTCACACTCAATGTCGTGTATTGGGTGTTTGCTGTATTCCGTGACAGGCGCAGGGCCATTCCACCCATTAGAAGCAACTCATTCCTACTAACACACTGGTGAATATATCATTATTTCAGCCCCTGGTGATTCAGCCCGTCCGAGCCATATCAACTAAAAGACAATTGTGGTCACAAGTGGAAACACGACACGCTAATAGATAACCCACTGGGCAATCTTGCAATGTGCATGCAATGTGGGCCATCTTACTTGGTTTTCTCTCTGATATTAGTGATTTGTTCGGAAGAGTAAGGTCTACCTTCAGTACTGGATGAATTTTCACTGATGAGTGGCTGTCACTGGATATATTCGCACACTACTCTTTTTGGAATATGGGTTGGGCTAGGTACATACATCACCAGACAGATTGTGGACTGGTAGGAGAAACATAGTCTTAGAGGAGTGGTTGACATTCGATGTTACTAGCAGTACTTTCTTTGTGTCAAGTGGTACCAAAGACTGAGGAACACAACTATTCATAGAAGCAAGATGCAGAGTGCTCCATTGCAATGCCACTTTTTCACTTAGTTGTACAGGCCCAGGTTCAGCAGGGGTCAATGGAAGACCTCTAATCGATGCTCAAACTAGCAGGGCAATACTGACGCATTATCTATCAGGTGACGGAATCGGGTTCTCCGGCCCTACAAGCTGCGTAGGTGGCGCAGTATACAGTACCCAGAACTCCTGTAGATCATGATGATCCTGCTACTCATTACAGTACTTGGGATTCTTCCTCTCTAACTACGCCATCCGGAAACCCATTAAGCAGCTAATAGCCCTATGCTATCCATACTACTTGCGTACATTCACCATCCCGTCTTGACCGAGCTCTTTTGCCGCAAAGGCCAGCGCTGTCGTAAAGATACCTTTGTTTGCCTGGCTATAGGCTCCTACAACCTCCATATCGACACGCGAAGCTCAACTCAACGTCCACCAGGGATACCGCAACCAAAATCACCTCCATGTCACCCCTATGAACACCTAGCTGACAATTGATGCGAAAGCAGCCCAAGTACCAGTCCCTTCTTCCAAGGAAATATGCGTGGTCTTCGACCTCCCAGACCGAGAATGTGCCTCACTGGCAAGTAACGGCGAGTACTCTATTGGAACCAATAGTGCCGCGAACTACAGGGATCAATTCCATTCAAGCTCAACTGGCGAAGTACTTGGATATTCGTATTATTGCTGAATGCCATACTCCGCACTCTCTGTAAGCTATATCAAATCTAACTCTTAACACATAAATGCGATCCAGAGTCTGAGAGCCTAACAGACCTATTCACGAGCCTGAATGTCCAAAAAAAATGCGCCAGCGGAAAAGGTGCATTCCTCGAATGTGTCAATTCCGCATTCGTTCGACTTAAGCTGCCTAATGTAGCCATGTACCTGGATGCCGGTATGTCCTCCCTTACTCATTAGCCTATCGGACTTCCACCATACTAACCCGACGAAGGACACGCCGGCTAACTCCCATCAGCGGGCCTGCACAGCGCAGCCCCGCAGTAGACATTTATACCTCAGTCTACAGAAACACCCCATCAGCCTTGAGCATACCATCTTAACACAATCGAGGGAAAAGCTTGGAGTTTAACTATTTTGAAGGAAGCGATTCACGGTACACTTGATTCAACCGAAAATTTGAGTCTGCAAAGGGATGAACGTAAAAACAATTTTTTGTTTAAAAAAAGGACACCCGATGCGAGGCTCGAACTCGCGACCTTGAGATTAAACTATTGAGTTGTTAGTGGATGAATTAAGGGCAAGTGGGTCAGGTTGAACCTACAGTCTCACGCTCTTCCAATTAAGCTAACCGGGTAATATGGTGACGTTGGTTGAGAATTTCATAATATCAAGAAATGACCCTAACCTGCCAAACAAAATATATGGCTTCGCTAACTGTGCTTCTGCTTCTCTCCTTTCTGTAAAACTCTGACTAGTGAAATGTCCCCACTGCTATTAAGTAATTCCTTTAGAATTCATCTGATCGCTGAAACGGTACTTAAGCGGGCTTCAAACAGTCTCAGAGTGGAAGGCTCAGAAGCAGTTCGCCGGACTGTCCCTAGATCCAATCCAAGGATGAAGCTGGATAATGGACGGTATGATTCCCCGCATGGATGAAACATGGACCTCCCAAATGATTTATCTAGGTGTACATTCAACAGCAAGGAGGAAGCTTCAAGTAAGTAACAGAGATGAGGATCTCTTCTATGACCAGAATTTGTTATATTGTTTCCAAGGCCACTAGGGCTTTATAAGAACAGTTTTAACGATTGGCGGTGCGTTTGATATCACTCTGTACGCCGTGATCTGTCATCGGGCTCTGCCTAAGAATGGGTATGCTTGTCCATGATACTATAATATGGGTGCAATGGCCGATGTAATGAATGTAGTAGACTGAAGCCGAAGCCTACGGATATTCAGCAAGTTCTTCCATGGAAAAAGAGGACGGCAGCGACCCATGGGCCGCATATCTATTTCCCCATTCATTACCATGGTTGCTGTTTCAAATGAAACCGTCATATCTAAAGACAGGGGTGCTGATTTCTCCTTTGATATTCAACATCTAATACAGTATTTCATTGATTAAGGTTGACGACCACTTTATCTGTTCCAGATACAGAGTATCCCCTCATTTAAATCCCCGTGATTGGCTAATTTTCGTCGGAGGGTCTGATCAACGGAGAGATAATCCTACTGCTTGAAACAGTAGCACGATGGCCTGGACGCCATGGGCTCTGTCACTGACATGCATGCAACTCAGTGTTTCCCCCCATGTATGACGGTGTTGATCTTCTTGTTCCCTGAAGATGCCAGGTTACCCTCAAATATGCAAATGACGTCGTTCAGTCGAGAATTATGGGGTAGATTATGTTCAGCAGGAGCTGACCTATGAGGCAAATTAGTCTAAGAATAAACTGGACTTTCCCCGAGATCAACATCTATAAAGTGCCCAGTTAAATGTCATACTAGCGCATTGCCTCAGTAGTGGAGTAAAGAAGCTGTTCAGCCACCGCTTTTTCTCACGCAATGCATTACCAACCTCTCGATATTTCCGCGTCTCAGGTGTGTAGAATTTGTCCCATCGAGTGGAACAATCTCAAATCATCTGAATTCCCTCTTTAGCGCTCTATATTACTGCCAGTCAGTTAGACCAAAAACAAGTACAGAACGACTAGATCGACTATCGAAAGTCGGGGCATGTTTCTGTGATATAGGGGCACGTGCGGAAGTATTGATCGTTATCGCTTGGCGTTTGGAACTTTAGCAATCTAGAGATTCTCATTCTACCATTGCGTGTCACTCCTTTCTTTAATTACTACTATTACTCCTGTGTCACCGTCATTTGGCCTTCCAAATTGACATATTCATATACTTCATCTCCATTGGCTTCGACCAACTCCCTCACTCCAAACAAAAACGAGCATTGAGACCGGTTAGGCCTCAGGAGATCCCATTCCGCGTCTCCTTTTTGTCTTGTCTCCCAACCAAGTGTTTATCCGTAAGCGACCGTGTATTGGACTGAATTGCCTATCGACGTGGCATTCCAGCCCTTGTCCAAGTGGTGCGACTGATTGCATTCCGACATCATTCCTGGCCCCATCCCTTTTCTACCCCCTCCATCCAGTCACACTTGCGCTCGACCATGCTCCAAGTCACCGACCATTCCTCGTCTACTGCCACGCCCGTCATCGATCCTCCGAACTTTCCCTCTACAAATCCCCCGACCGAGCAAAAAGGACCGTTGCAGCCCTGCGATGACCCTCCGTTATCCTACCAGGAGGTTCCTGCGACTTTGTTAGCACAGAGCTCGGATACAACTCCGCCGGAGAAACCGTCTCTTCCAAAGCAATCATTCCACCGTCGTGCAAACACCGAGTTTATCGTTCGGCGGCAGTCGCCTCCGTCAGTTCGACAGCTCTTTGCAGATCAGTCGAAGACGCTAGAGGATCTGGACGACAGGAACAAACCCTCAAATTTGCCAACCGAGAATCTCACCAGGAGGAAATTAGAAGAGGGTGCGAAGCTGTTGACAGGCTGGTTCCAGGGGAAATCGGAACCAGTCAATTTAAGTGTGGTATATCAACCAGAATCTACTGGAACATCAACCATGGAGTCTCGCGATTTCTACGGATCCCCTAGGGGCCTTACATCACGATCACAGAAGCGTATGACTGCACCTTCGCCTCTAAAGCAAGTAACATCGTCGGGTCCTTTCTCGTTCTTTGGATTGAAGCGCCAGGAACCCAGATTGGAGCTCCCTGAGCCTGCAGATGATGATCTTTTGAACCTGGACATTGCCGCTGCTCTATTCCCACCCACGTCCAATAGTCTCGGCGACCAGGAAGCTTTTGATGCTCTCAGGAATAACGCAGAAAACGTTATTAAACGGTTGCAGGCAGCATACAAACAACGAACGTTTGCCTTGCACGAGGCACTGGCTGATAAGAACAAGAAACAAGAGGAGCTCGAAGAAACCCGGACGCGTGTTGGAAACCTTAAGGTGCAGCTAGATGGCATGGCGGAGAAGGTGAGCCAGCAAGAAAAGGCGGTGCAAGCCATGGCGGAAGAGTTGGAACAGGAAAGACAATTACGCCAAAGAGAGGATGAAGCGCGTTTACGCAGCATCAGGCTCATCAGATCCAGCGATGATGAGAGCATCTCCGACCTAAGCGCCGACCTTCAAACTCCTAAGCGAAGCATGAAACGTGCTAGCAATGCCACATACGCCAGCGATTCGGGCTTTGACTCGGGAGACGAGAGTCTCGCAGAGAGCGTATTCTCTCGTCGGGAGGGGCTTGAATCACCCACTTCCACGGTGGCACCGTCACCGAGCATCTCTCAGATCACATTGCCTGCATCAATCTCAACCCCTTCGAAAGAGAAAGAGCTCAAGCCCCTCCCACCATCGACACCAACACCACGTCAATCGACGTATGACAAAGTAATCAAAGGTATTGCTGGCTCGTGGATGAATAATTCTAAATGCGGAATTTGCCATGGAGTTCCATCCTCTGAAGCCTGGAGCGTCTTGGGTATTTTGAAGGAAGAAAACAAAGGGCTGAAGGAACGATTAGGTGAACTTGAGATGGTCATTGATGACTGTCTGAGCATGGTTGGCCCTTAAGCCTGGTATGCATACAGGTCATGAAATTCCTAATCTGGCATGGAAACATACCATCTATGGATGGCAAGATATACAAGATATATCAACGCTTGACCTTGGAACGGTCCTTGGCTACGATGGAGATTTTTCCTTTTTTCGCTTTCTTTATTTTGTTTTGAGAATCCGTCTGGAATGAAATGTTACTATATTATGATACCTCTTGAACAATCTATATAAAATAATGGAGCTTAGACCTTGGAATTGTCTCTTTTATCTTATGAGACCAATGTAGTAGTAATGAGGTTTGGCTGCTTGGATAGCTTGTGTGATATTTGCCAATGTCGGTGCTATCGTGCTGGGAAAAAAACAGCATGAGGGCGACTGTTAGTTGAGACAATGTGTTTTAACGGTAAATTATCTACGTGTCCACTGTCGCATTACTTGCACCGTGAGTCATAAATGAAGGAGGAAGTAAGTGAAGACAAACATACATGCATACATGAGCTAGTATGTGCTCCGTAATTTATGGTGGTAAGCAAGTAACAATCAATGGAACTGACACTTGCGGAGGAAAGCGACCAAGTGGCCTCAACAGGTTAGCGCGACTGGGAAAGTGGCCAGCGAGGCGACTATTGCTTCGCACCCGAATCTCAACCTCATCGCTCCCTTCCCTTCCCCATCTTATTAACTTTCGACCTCTTTCTCTTCTTCTTTGCTTCTTCCTTTTACCCTTTAATTCCCCTTCCACTCCTTCAGCTGGCTCTTCCACCAGCTTCCTCTTCTTTTCTTCTTCTTTAATTTGTCAAGTGTTTCGGAAGCTGGAAAGTCACAATGAGCGGACGTGAGTTCCCTTGCACGCGATCGCAATCGGCCCTGCGACAACGCCCAATTTCCTATCTCAATGGATCAACAAATACTGATTCTGGCAATTAGTTCGATTCCTTGATCTAATTAAACCCTTTACGCCCCTCCTCCCGGAGGTGGCAGCCCCGGAAACCAAGGTTCCCTTCAACCAGAAGTTGATGTGGACTGGGGTACGTTGCTTTCCTGAAGCGCCAAACAGAACTTCCCCCACTGACGGATTTCCTTTAGTTGACCCTGTTGATCTTCTTGGTCATGAGCCAGATGCCTCTTTATGGTATTGTCTCCTCTGATACCTCCGATCCCCTGTACTGGCTGCGTATGATGTTGGCCAGTAACCGCGGTACCCTGATGGAGCTGGGTATTACTCCTATTATCTCCTCTGGCATGGTTTTCCAGGTTAGTATAATTGGATTGTTCTGCATATATATCTTGCTTTGCGAGTGCCACTGACTGGTTTCCGTTATCACTAGCTCCTCGCTGGTACCCACCTCATCGATGTCAACCTGGACCTCAAGACCGACCGTGAATTGTACCAGACCGCTCAGAAGCTTTTCGCGATCATTCTCTCCTTCGGTCAGGCTTGTGTCTATGTCCTGACCGGCCTTTATGGCCAGCCCAGTGATCTTGGTGCCGGTATCTGCGTTCTGCTGATCGTCCAGCTTGTTGTTGCTGGTCTTGTTGTTATTCTCCTGGACGAGTTGCTCCAGAAGGGATATGGCCTTGGAAGCGGAATCTCGCTCTTCATTGCCACCAACATTTGCGAGTCCATTGTCTGGAAGGCTTTCTCTCCCACCACCATCAACACTGGCCGTGGCCCCGAGTTCGAGGGTGCTATCATTGCTCTGTTC